ATATAGACAGCTAAAGAATTATCTAAAAAAACAACGATTACCAATAAATTGCTCGCAACAACAAGCAAAACGAATATGAGCACAGAATACCTTCTTCTTCAAAAAAGAAGGGATGGTGTATAAGAAAGACAAGCACAAACAAGGAAACCTACTAAAAGTGCTACAACAACATAAACTGGGACCCATCCTATACCTGACACATAACCATTCACTTGGTGAACACCTGGGGAGAGATGCTATGTTCAACAAAATCTGAAACCTATACTACTGGCCACAACTGTATGAAGACATCTGAATGTACGTGCACTCTTGTGACCAATGCCAAAAAAGGGGGAAGAGCAAGTGGAGAAAGCCCCTCCATCCCATATCTGTGGATAAGCCATTTTCAAAGATAAGAATTGACATCATAGGACTGTTGCCCATTACCCCCAGGAAGAATCAGTATATAATGGTCGCCACCAATTACATGACAAAGTGACCAGAAGCCCGAGCTTTGGAAGAAGCCACAGCACAAAGAATAGTGGAATTCATCTATGCCGAGATAGTGTGTAGGCACGGGTATCCAACTTACCTGTTGTCTGACCAGGAAGCAAACTTCAGAAGTTGCATGTTAAATGTGTTCCTGAAGAAATTCCATATCAATCACCTATACTCCACACCATACCATCCACAAACAAATGGGTTGGTGAAACAGTTTAACTGCACTCTATACGAATCTATTGCTAAATCGGTACATAGCATGATAGACTGGGATCTAATGATATCTGCCACCCTATTCACCTATCAAACAGCATGCCAAAAAACGAGAAAGATAACACCATTTTATCTAGTTTACGAAAGGAAGGCACGAACCCCGATCCACCCCACGGAGCAAGGAGGGCTGTCTGAAGAAACAATACGACAACAAGTTTCCGACCTAGTAGGAATATTATCGCAACAACAGAGGGATATGGTGGTAAGAATAAACATTACCCAGTGAGAATTAAAGATACAACAAGATCAGACACTTCCAAAAGATCAAGGCCTCACTATAGGGGACAAGGTGCTAGTATGCAGGGTGTTCC